TCAAGTGGTAGAGCGCTAGCCTTGAGCTGAAGAGCTGAGGGACAGCTCCCAGGCCCAGAGTTCAGGCCCCATGACCGGACCCAAAAAAAAAAAAAGAGAAAGGAGAAAGGGAAGAAAGGAGGGAAAGAGTGGGGAAGAAAAGGGAGTGCAGGCGGAAAAGAAATAAAGTGAAAGGGAATGAAAGAGGAAGGAGGCAAGGAAAAAGGTAGGGAAGGGAGAGGGAGGGAGGGAGGGAAGGAGGGAGGAAAGAAAAAAAGAAGGAAGAAGGGAGGGAGAGGGGAGGAAAGAGTGAGAAAGAAAGAGCTAAAAGTAGATCACTTAAGAGAGACTAAAACCAGAATCAATTTCTGAAGCTAGTTTCCAAAAAGGATGTTCCACTTCAGAAAGTTAGCCACTGCAATTTAGCACATTTAAAACCAAAATCTTTACATCTCTTTGGCTCATATAACAATAAAATGTAACTACACACCTTAACTGACCATGAAAAGTTTGTTTTATTCCATGAAAATATTCTCAACAGAGAACACTATCTTAAACAAAGCATTTACCATTATGAAATCAACATGTGCACAAAGAGTAAAAATACCTGCAAAATTAAAGATTTCTTTTTGACAATTCACATGTTCAAAATCTAAGAATGATTTCAGAATGATTTAAACTGAGTGTAACAAATGTCTGTCCTATTGTAAGAGCCGGTTACAGGTTGCACTATTCTACATGAAGGAACTTGCCTCCTACTGAAGCAAATCCTGTATTTAGAAAAACAAACAGTAGCTTGAAAAGAACAGTTAGTCCTTACAAGAAAGCTTTAAACTTTGCCCTCTGTGGCTGATGGCCAAAAAAACATAAGCACTTCAGGCTTTGTACAGAAGACAAACACAGCCCGGTCACATTTCCTTCTCACTGCTAACCTTTAAAATAAAAACAGCACTAGTTTTTAAAACTACTTCACGTAGTTAGTACTGAATAATGTCACATTATATAAATAACCCTGTAACGAGATTTACTATCTAAACTTTATAGTTTACTAGCCTCAAAAACAATACACTATATGTCAGCTGTGTAACAGTGGTGTACTTTATCTTATGAAGGCATTAACTTTCACACAATTGTCATTCAGCTTTAGTATAAATGAGAGCATGATTCAATTAACACTGGGAAAATTATTAAAAGCAGTCACACGGCTTCTAAAATATTGCTTAAAATCCAATAATACACAGACCATTTCACGTTCTCTTTCTCCCATCAAACCAGTAAGAACCAAATTAATGAAGCGCGTCAGCGGTACAAATAGCCCCTCCCCCTCCCACCCTGTTACATCACCACTAAGAAAGTAGCTCAGGTACAAGTCATCAACAGAATCACAAATGCCAGGCGAGACGACATGAGTGATAGGGCCACTAACAACGAATATATTTACAAGTATAAACATACAGAAATTTCCATTTTACAAGTAAAAGTGCACATAGATCATTACAAAGTTTCACTAAATTTTATCTGGTTCAAACAAAAGCATCACTTGGAAACAAGACTATCATGGCAGGAATCAAGTGACATTGTCTTAGTCCCAAATTAAAAGACAAATGTGGGGCTAGGGGAAGTCCACAAAACTTCTCATAAAAACGCTAAGTAAAATGGGCTCAAACATGTCCTTCAGTGTGATGCATAAATTTGAAGATGCACCAGTGTACATGGTAGAGCTCTGAAAGCCACCTACCAAGGCTACATTGGCAGCTACAGCAGGGCCGCAGAGTTAAAAGAGGTCGCACTGAGCTGACGCATAAAGCCCTTTATGGGATACTGTAGTGGTAGTGTTGGCAATCAACAGATTTAGGCACTCTCGTTTAAGGCAGCATTTGAATGGAAGCAGCTGACTCATGACAATAGTCCTGTGTCTTGAGGTGGAAAGTTTCTTCTGTGTTTATTATTCCAGGACTTCAGTGCTCACTACTGGTTCTTCCCAGACAGTGGTGCAGAAGATGTATCATATTTCAGAGAGTTCTGTAGTAACTGGGCTGTAGGCTAGAGCAGGTGGTTTCTTTTTCTCATCATAAATGCTTCAGGTTCACAGACTATGTCTTCGTAATGTCAAAACTGGAATGTTTGCAGTGGGGAAGTTATAGCAGCATACACAAAGACTAAGATGGAACATTAGTGCTGGAGATGTCTGACAAAAGTAATTTGTACTACAAATGTAAAACAACACAAAGACTGGGACAAGAACAAGGGATTATAAAGACATGCCTGAGAATCTAAGCTGGTCACTCTAGACATGCAACAGGATGTTAAGCAAGCACGGAGGTGGCGCAGGCAGACAGACAGATGGCAAAGGCTCTAACAAACAGACAATGGGTCGAAAATCACTTAGAACAGAGCTGGATGGACAGAGTCCTGACAAGATAGCTAAAAGAAAGAACATTTTATGAAGTTTTATGACAACTCTGCATTCTTTCGGATCTGGACATCAGTAAAATAAATGGAAAGAGGCTCAGACACTGTAGGCTTTTTGTCTTCTATGTGAGTAATGGTGCACTAGGAATTTAAGGATTGGTATTATAGGGATTGTTTAAAAACAATGTATGGAAATGCTAATGAAGTTAGTAAAAAAAAATGTCTGCATGCATTCATGCAACTTGCTTCTCTCATCTCTCTGAGCCTGACAACTCTACCCCCCGCTCCCCCAAAGCAGCTGCATGTAACCTCCTTCAACATCTTGCCCATTCCTCAGAACCCCTCTTCAGGAACCTGCAGTCCAGGAGGAAAAAGAAAAGAAGGATTACTGAAGACCTTTGGTAAGACTAAAAGAGGTGTTCAGATAAAGTGTCTGCCCAAAATGTCTCTAAAATAATCTTACAATCAGCTACTGAAAACACCAGAAAAATGTGAGACATTAAGCAAAATCAAGGGCAGCCTCACAGCTTCTTCACAGCTAAATCAATGTAATCATAAGAACAGCCCACTGAGCAGTCCTTGATTATAGGATGTTTCCAAAAACGCTCATCAAAAGTATAGAGGGAGGAAACCCCAAAAGACAAAAAAATACAATCTATTCTAATAGTAATGATCCAGCTAAAATGAAGCCCTAAACGGTGGTGCAGGGTTTTCCTTTAACCCAGCCAAAAAAGTTTTTTCTGTTCTAAAAGTAAACGGTCAATATTTCCCTTCAGATTTCCTCTATCTTTAATGATTTAAAAATTTTATTTTCCTATGTGTAACTGCCAAACACTAAATAATCTCTAAATAAAGTGATATTTCCAAAAGATATTTTCAAGATGAAAAATACAAGCATGAGATTAATTTGGAAGGAAGGTTGAAAATTACCATAAATCTAAAAGTATTTTCATATCTCAAAAGAAAGGTAGGCTCTTGATTTAAAGAGATGATGCAATAGGTGCTTATTTTCTTCCTTTACAAAATCAGTTAAAAATAGGAAGAAAAATAAAAATGATTATTATTTTATCCAGTTACCTATTACTGTTCTCCCTAGATACTGAAGCTATCGATTCAAATTTCTAAAACAAGCTGCTCTTTTGGGTCTTTTGGGAATCACTTACTCCAGCAGTTCAGAGCAGTTTTACTTATTTCAGTTCATTACAGTTGCTGTGTTTTCTGAAGTAAACATGAATTCCTGCCCAGTAATCAAATCTTATTATTTATAAGGCAGAAAAACAAATCCTTCACACAGACTTAAGCAGGACGTAAAGCAGAAGGCATCAGTTAAGCTTCACACCAACATTACTCAAATGATAAGGCATCACAAAACAATTTCTTGTGGCAATAGTCACATCTCAAAGATCAAGCCTGCACTCAGCTCACATAGCGAACAGTAGACTGGGGTGTACTGCAAGCTCTTATCTTTCTGACCTTTTGAATGTGTTTTCATTTTATGTTATCGTTCTTATGTCATGCATGGCACAAAGCTGCCTGATTAATTTAGATATAAGTTACTGCACCTTTACTGTTTTTCTCTAGAGTTACATCTATGTATGATGTGGGAACGTAGCCTTCTTCACCGTTCTGTCTGCGGGCTCTTGTCCATCCATCACCTTTGTCTTCTTCAATAATGTACAGAACCTCACCTTCTTTCATTGCCAGAGTACCTTCATTGTGTCCTAGGATGACAGTTTTCATGACATAAGTATGACTGAAGCACAACAGTATTTGCTAGACGTTATAAAGACAACATACAAAATAATATGAAAATCCTAGTGGATCTCAACGTACCTGGGACTAAGAACCTACTGACTGCCATTAGCAACACATGCTTTGTAGTTTGCCAACACTTTCATACACAATCTCATCTGAATGACATAGTGAGCCTGAGGCTGGATGAACATCAACCCAGATAAAGAAAGTGAGCCACACTAAGAGTAATCTGACTCTTTATTTTTCTATTCTATTATTTTTATTCTACTTATTTTACTATTCTAAGTGGTGCTTCTACCTAAAAAATTTACTGAATACGAATCAGTGAAATAGTAATAAGACAGTGAGAAGGTGGGAAAAACAGAAAATACATACTTAAAGAGAGAACAGATTAGACTCTAGTGATGATAGCAGAACAGTCACAAAGAACAAACTCCTCTCAAGACCTCTTCAGTCTCAGATCCATTTTTCTCTTACCCTAACAGGGTTAGGAGTACAATTTTTATACCTGAATCTCCATTTAACATAAGTTATTTTCCTACTTTCTAGATGAGTGACTAAAGACTTTACTCAATTTAAAAATCAATGGATAGGGCTGGGAAGGTGGCTCAGTGGTAGAGCACTTGCCTTGCATGCTCAAGGCCCTGGGTTCGATTCCTCAGCACCACATAAGCAAAAAGAAAAAAGCCGGAAGTGGCGCTGTGGCTCAAGTGGTAGAGCGCTAGCTTTGAGCTGAAGAGCTGAGGGACAGCGCCCAGGCCCAGAGTTCAGGCCCCATGACCGGACCCAAAAAAAAAAAAAAAAAAAATCAATGGATAGCTAGAGAAAGACAAATCCTGTACCATTTTATAACAACTTATTCATGAAAGCGTCACTCTGTTCTTCTGCTGAGGACAGGGATTTTTCAGAGTATACAAGAAGAAAGGTTAACAAAAATCTGAAGCAGAGGGCCATAGCCCTCAACATAAAAGAGACTGTGTAGAAATGACTCTCTTTCTCTCTCTCTTTTTTTTTTTTGCGGTCGTGGGGCTTGAACTCTGGGCTTGGTCACTGTCCCTCAGCTCTTCAGCTCAAGGCGAGCGCTCTACCACTTGAGCTATAGCACCACTTCCAGTTTTCTGGTGGTTTATTGG